GAGAGAGAGAGAGAGAGAGAGAGAGAGAGAGAGAGAGAGAGAGAGAGAGAGAGGAAGAGAATGAGCTGGCAGGGGGAAGGCAGCCATAGTTGCACCAGTGCAGAGTGTTAATAGTAGACTTCAGATAGTTAGTAGGCATATCAGTGCGTGTATTCAGAGTAGGTCCTTGAGTAATAGATGTGTGAGTGCATGTAAGTAGGGAGAGAAGACACAGTGAGGTGGTAGACAGTGAGAAGATCAAGATAGAGAGAGAAGACAGAAGAGTTTTGGAAGAGAGACATACCTAAGTGAAGATACGGGATACTTGGGTTGCGCTGTTGAGCGCTGGATATTGAAACTCTTCATTGCTCATATGATAATTTTGTAATGAACCCAGTCTGGCAGATACTCAGAAGTCGTCAAACATCAGTAGTCTCATTATCTGCATCAAAGTCTCCAAATCGTGAAGTGATATCTCAAACAGTATCTCATTACTAAAAGAAGAGAGTGGAGGGGGAACAGACAGAGGAGAAGATGAAAGATCACATAATCCCTTCAGACCCCTCTCCTTCTCCGGGCTTCTTCCCTCTCCACATCAACAACTAGTAGATGATAACAAGTATAGTAAACCTGATCACACACAATAGTGCCACGTGGCACTTCATCTCGTGAAGACCATGAAGACATAGCAGATTCCAGTGACGACATCAACTTCAGGTGAGTACCCAATCTCCATCCACAGATCCCGATCTTCCTCCTCCTCGCAACCACTCACCTCATGTAGACAGTGTGGACAACGCCACGTCCGCAGTTGAGAAAGGTGGCATACGCCACATCATCAATGAAGACCAAAGGCAGCGTCACATCAGAACATAGGCAGCGCCACATCAGATGTCGACCAGAGGTAGCGCCACTTCAGCATGCAATGTAGACCAGAGGTAGCGCCACATCAGCATGCGATGTAGACCAGAGGTAGCGCCACATCGGCATGCAATGTAGACCAGAGGTAGCGCCNGCATGCAATGTAGACCAGAGGTAGCGCCACATCAGTATGCAATGTAGGTACCGCCACATCACCATGCAATGTAGACCAGAGGTAGCGCCACATCAACATGCAATGTAGACCAGAGGTAGCGCCACATCAGCATGCAATGTAGACAAGAGGTAGCGCCACATCCGTATGCCTGGCGCACAGAACAGGAAGCGCCAGCATGCTGCCTCCACCTCGTACCGCCGTCCACATCGCCAGTGCACAACCAACGTCTAGCCAACGTCGAACCAGCGTCGAGCCAGCATAATGCAATCGTCTAGTCAAATTCGAGCCAGCGTCAAAGCAGTATAGCCAAATTGAATGTTGACCAGCTCGAGGCTAGTCTTTAAGTAGCATTTGACGAAGCTCTCTGGCCTCGGGTCTCCTCCCCTTAGTCGTCCAAATTGATTCATAGCCGAAGGCCTGGATTGTACAGTTGCAGACTTTCCCCTTGGACCTGATGCTGTCTGGGTACCTGCATACAAACAAATGTGTGTCTGACCGGCGGCCTGGGCTGGGTACATTTTGACTTTGACTGTTGGGGTTTCCGACAATTGACTTTTGTCAATTGTACCTCTTCCAGGCCCTGAATCTTTTGTTGGGGTCTTTTCCCCCGTTTTGGCCTGGGCCTGGATGTGGCCTCGCAAGGTCCTCATTTTTCCACGAGGCTTACTACATGGGTTAGTGCATTCCTGTCGGCCCAATTTTCGAGTTCCATTGCAGAAATACATCAATTTTCACTCAACCCACGTTCATAAGCAACAACAATATCAGGAGCAGTAGGTAGGAGTTCTTTCCTACTAAACCCCTGGCTTCCGATAGGGGTTGGGACTTGAAGTTTACCTGGTAGTGCTTCTGAGGTCGTCCTCTGCCACCTGTAGAAAAATAGCCATTTTCCAATATCTTTTGAACTTCATAGCCTCCATTCATAGAGGGTGGAAACATAGATATCACTTTCTACATAGGGTAGCAGCTTAGACGCATGGAAGACAGGGTATGTCCTTGGACGTGGAGGTACATCTATACTATAAGAAGGTTAATCTTCTCCTCCAATTACTTTGAGAACTTCCCAGGGTCCGTAGTAGACAGGTAACAGTTTCTGAGACACATTTTCTTCTAAGGAAAACTCTTCAGACTTAACCTGGACAAAGTCCCCTTCTTGGAATTGCGAAGGTCAGTGATGTCAATTAGCTTGTTCAATCATTTGTAGTTGGACTTTCAGTATGTTTTCCTTAACCTTTTTTATTTCTTCTTCGTATAAAACTGCGAATTCTCGTGTACCTGGTGGTAGCCTTTAAACCTGGTCTTGTGTTAATGCATCAATGGGACGTCCAGGCTTCCATCCTTTATGCAATGCGTTAGGTGTTCTTCCTGTAACAGTATGTATACTGTTATTGTAAGCACTAGCAACTTTAGGGAAGATCTCGTCCCAATTGATTTCGTCAGGTCGGACATACATTCGCAAAAGTTGTTGGCAAAAACGATTCATTTGCTCAGTTTGGCCATTCGTTTCAAGATGTTCGCCTGACGACATGGTCAACCTGGTTCCATTGACTTCCATCAACTTTTTCCATTGTAGACCGGTGAACCAAACATCTCTGTTTGATACAATGGTTTTGGGAAATCCATATTCAGAGACCCATCGCATTTGAAACTCTTGAATGACTAGTTCGGTTCTAGCTTCAACATGCAAAGGAATAAACATAACATACTTAGAGAATCTATTGACGATGACCATTATCTGACTGTTGCCGTTTCGACTCTTAGTGAGGCTCATAAAGTCGATAGAAATAGACTCACCTGGCTCACTTGGAATATGCAACGGTCGCAATAGTTCCATCGGATTCTCATGTGAGGGCTTGTTCCTTTGACAGACAAGACAAGTCCGCACATACATTAGTATATCTTCCTTCATTCCTTTCCACTCAAAACATTCACGCATATGGACATACGTCTTCTTAAAACCAAAGTGACCTTCCGCATCATGGCATTCCCCAATGATTAAACTCTTGATTGGTTCTAGGTGAGGGACACACAATCTTTCTTCGGTTTTATCCAACAAGAAAAGTAAGCCATCAGTTATTCGATATTCTGGAAACAACTCAGGGTTGTTTCGTAGAGTTTCAATTATAAGACTCCAAATAGGATCACTCCCATAACCCTGGCGGATCTATTCCTTCAATTCATTTCCTATATCGAGATAGGAGACAATGGTTCCAAAGAAATCTGCATGCCTGGACAAAGCATCCGCAACCACGTTAGACTTACCTTTGATGGTTTTCATCTCAAAGTCAAATGTGTCAAGAAAAGCGGACCACCTTACTAACTTGTCGGAGAGCTTAGGTTGAGTCTTGATCCACTTCAAAGTAGAGTGATCAGAGTAGACAGTGAAATGTCTCCCTAACAAGTAGTGCTTCCAGGTATCTAGTGCAACAACTAAGGCATACAATTCTCTTTCGTAGGTGGAGTTGGTCACTTTCTCTGACGAAAGTCTTCTGGACATAAATATCCCTTACCGTCGTCCTGTTGTAGCATATCCTCAATCCCATACTGACTTGCGTCAGTTGTAACGATGAAAGGAAGAGAAGGGTCAACAATCTTTGGGACAGGGTAGTCAGTCAGAGCATGCTTTAACTTTCTAAATGATGACTCACAATCTTTATCCCACAACCAAGACTTTTCCTTTTTCAGTAATCTTCTCATAGGAGCAACTATCAAGGAGAAGTTTCTAACAAACTTCTTGTAGTAGCTAGCTAGTGCCAGGAAAGATCTTAGTTCAATTATAGTCTTAGGTTGTCGTCAATCTCTGATTGTTGTAATCTTATTTTCTTCAGGCCTTAGTCCTTCTTTGTTCACTATATGCCCTAAGTATAAGACTTCAGGCTTAGCAAACTCAGACTTCTTCGGATTTAGTTTGAAGTTGCCCTCGCGCAACTTCTGCAAGACCATTCGTAGGTGTTTCTCGTGATCTTCTAGCGTCTTACTGTACACTGGAATGTCATCGAGGTAGACTACTACGAACCGATTAAGCCATTGACGGAACAGTTCGTGCATTGACCTTTGGAAGGTCGCAGGCGCATTGGTCAAACCGAAAGGCATAACCACGAACTCATAGTGGCCATGCGTGGTTCGGAATGCCGTGTTGTGTTGATCCTCAGGAGCCACCTCGATTTGGTGGTACCCCGACTTGAGATCAATCTTGCTAAAGTACTTGCATCCCTGCAACTGATCCAATAGATCGTCAATGCGCGGAAGAGGCAACACGTTTTTGACAGTGACGGAGTTCAGCCCACGATAATTTATACATAGCGAAGTTCACCTTCCTTTTTGGGCACGAATAAGACAGGCGCACCATAAGGAGATGAGCTAGGGTGAATCCATCCTTTGTCAGTAAGTTCTTGCAGTTGCTTACGCAATTCCTCAAGTTCCATAGGAGACATTTGGTAGATGGGACCCTTGGGAATCTTGCTTCTGGGAATGATCTCGATCGTGTGCTTAATAGCTTGCTCAGTGATTCCCTTCGGCTCAGTCTGCAAGTCCTTGTACTCATCGAAAATTTTTTCGATAAAAGGTGGATAGGATGAGAAACACTCACCGACTTGCTTGATAAGCACCATCATCACCTCCTGATCCAACTTCTTTCTTACTACCATCGATCGGAAAGTTGGGGAACTCATACAACAGAAAGACAGAGTAGAGTCAAAACCAGACGTATGATACAACTTAATAGTACGCAGTTCGGACTTCTCATCCTTGAGTTTGACAATTTTCTATTTGAACTTGACCTCTGGGTCGGCTTCTTCATGCCAATCCATACGCATAATTATTTCAAAGGGTAAATTGGTCTCTATAAGGAAGGATATCTCATGTAGAATCTTCTTACCTTCCTTAGTCCTAAAATAACACTTTACAAGATCGACGTATTGAGAGACAGTGATCGTGCTCTTATCAGCCAACATAGATGTGACAGGTCGAGGTAAATCTTTTACATTCATTCCCAGATGCAATTTTCAAATTGCCTTCTCTGAGATGTAAAACCTCCTCGATCCCAAATCTAACAGAGCACCTACTCACGTGTGCGCAGTCTTTATATCTGCGATCATCAACTCACCCTTAGACTTAGCTTTCTTCGCCTTTGAACTCCGAAGTGCTATGAGTTCATTGCCTAGCCCGTCAAGGGAATCGTCCAGTGAAACAAAACAGAGTACGGTGTTAGGGTGGTCTGGACGACGGGCGAAAGAAGACATCCTCTACTTTGAGAGTCGAAGGGGTAGAAGGGGTTATAGGCGCCTTACCTTTGTCTTCATCTAAACCCTTCGACTCAGTAGGAGCAGATGGTACTCCTACTGACTGCTCACTTTTGGGTTCCTAATAAGTGGGCACCAGGCGATCACATGCACCACGGTGCTTCACTTGAGGCATTGGCGATTGTCCATCTTGGATTGTCATTCCTCATGCGTCATGTTCATCTTCCCAAATGCTATGTCAGGATGCTCGGGGAACGAGCGTGGCCTCCTCTTCCTCTTCCATTGGTTTTGGTCTCCCTTGTTGGCCATCACAGGAGTGACATCACCCTTCCCAGATTCACTGCCGCCGTTACTTCCTCCTCCCTCAGACTCATCAAGAGGTAACATTTCCACCGTATCATCATCAAAGATTACAAGCATATGGTCTCGGCACTTTTGTCGCCAAAGGACCCGCTTGCCATAACCACCAACCGGTCCTGACTTTACCACCGAAGCGTAAGACCCCTTTACCTGTGCGGTCATTTGCTCTTGTTGGAGAGCGAGATCGCGAAACTGCGGATAATTATACTTACCTGACTTCGATTCTGCCACGAGTTGTCCACGAATGGGCTCGGGCAAGGCACGTGAGTAAATATGGAGAACCTGATTGTCTTGTAAGTTCAGTCCAGGTACTTGCAACAGACGGTCCACTTCACGAGACAGCGCATCGACAGAAGTCCAACGCTTCTGGCCTATAGTGGTGAGTTCATTAAAGGCCTTATCAACAGTCATCTTATCCAAAAACCTCTCCTTAATCTTTTGGAGAAATTGCCTGAGAGTAAGTGTCTTGACCCACTCACCAATATCCTCGAAGCCACTCCTTGGCCACTCCTCCTAAACATGACGTAGAGAAAGCAACCTGACTTTCAGGTGCAACAGGTGCAGTACTACAGTAAGTCTGGATTTCGGCAATCCATAACAACAAGTTTCCGTCCTTCTTGTTGTTATATGTAAACGACAATTTCATTTTGACTTTTTTTTTTTTTTTTTTTTTTTTCTCCGCTTCTTTGACCGGTTCTTCTTTCTTTTCGATAGATTCTTCTTTCTTTCCTGCCGGTTCCTCATGTTCTTTCTTTGAGGGTCCGGGTTTCTCTTCCTTCCGCATAGCATCTTTCATGAGTTTCTCTTGGGGTGGCTTCCTGTCTGCTTCCCCCTTCGTCGCCTCCTCAAAAGTCACCTTATCCTTACCTTTCATCATTCTCATCATAGCTTGTAACGAGACGGTGTTAGTGTCTATCTTCTTTTCAAGATGAACAAGGTACGCCATGATAGATTGCAATACGGTTGAGAGATCAGTCTCAACTTCCTCAAAGTGAAATCGTTCCCTGATTTCTTCTAACATTTTCTCGTGTTGTTCTCTTTCTTCTTTTCTCCTCCGATGTTCTTCAATCTTTCTTCTCTCATCTGCTAGAGATTTTTCTAATTGTCTGATGTTTTCCTCCATTATCTCTACAGTCAATTACTTACTTTCTTCTTTCTTCTCTTCTTCCTTTCCTTTTTGGTCCAGTTTTTCAAGTTGCTCGGCGACAAATTGGTCAAGAGCAATACGCCCCTTTCTAATGAGTTCCTTGACTCGCTGCCCGATTTCCAGCATCTCAACATCAGTTTTCGCGGCCTCGAGTTCGCCCTGTGCAACTCGCAGGTTGAACTGTCCGTGAATGTGTTGTTCAGTTGCTGGTCCGACACAATGTATCTCGCTAGGCAATTGACGAAGGCGGCCTAAGATCCCCCCTTCTTCATCGACATAGACTAGGAGAGGGATAAGGAAGAAGAGAAGAGGAATGAACCGCGTCAAGATAGAGGCACGCTAACATTTCCAGAGAGAGTTCATTTTTCTACACGTGTAGATGTCGCACAATAAATATAATAAGAAGACAGGAATAAATTCCACGACACACGCAACTTCTACAACAAGAAGTAAGCAAGACAAATACAAAGAAGCAGGCTTTCAATAATTTCTAACTTTGCTGATTGTTTCCTATGTGATGACGTCCTACAACAAGTGTACAGGTATCGCAGCCACGACCAGTGTGATTAAGACCACAACACACTTGTGAGTACACATGGCAACCACAGAGCAAGATCAGGTAAGTAGAAAGCCAACACAACCGCACAATCAATAGTTAGCCTCTTCTATATCATATGCAGAAGCAATGCAACCAGCAGTAACAAGTGCACAGTCTTTGCATGCCACATGTCACCCCTGACATGCCAATGCAACATGCCACATCAGCGACAAGGATCAGAAAGGTCTGCAAAATGGGATGCCACATCAGCAGTGCAGGTCTGCCACACACTCAACACCAACATACCATGTCAGCACATTGCCAACGAAGCTCTTGCCGGCATCTTGAAATCTTCAGTGCAGCCACGTCATCATCTTCAAGGGACAGTTGCTCGCATGTGCAGTACTACAATGTCTAGACTTGCGGTATATACTGCGCGCGCTGATAAATGTGTTTCGTTTTGCACATGCGACACTTCCCACTTACCTGGGTGCCACGTCAACACCTGACAGTTGACAACAGATTGCGATGAAAGAAGTTTGCTCCGATACCAAATTGTAATGAACCCAGTCAGGCAGATACTCAGAAGTCGCCAAACATCAGTAATCTCATTATCTGCATCAAAGTCTCCAAATCGTGAAGTGATATCTCAAACAGTATCTCATTACCATTAAAAGAAGAGAGTGGAGGGGGAATAGATAGAGGAGAAGATGAAAGATGACATAATCCCATCAGACCCCTCTCCTTCTCCGGGTTTCTTCCCTTCCACATCAACAACTAGTAGATGATAACAAGTATAGTAAACCTGATCACACACAATAGTGCCATGTGGCACTTTATCTCGTGAAGACCATGAAGACATAGCAGATTCCAGTGACGACGTCAACTTCAGGTGAGTACCCGATCTCCTTCATCCACAGATCCCGATCTTCCTCCTCCTCGCAACCACTCACCTCATGTAGACAGCGTGGACAACACCACGTCAGCAGTCGAGACAGGTGGCATACGCCACATCATCAATGAAGACCAAAGGCAGCCTCACATTAGAACAGAGGCAGCGCCACATCAGATGAAGACCAGAGGTAGCGTCACTTCAGCATCCAATGTAGACCAGAGGTAGCACCACATCAATATGCAATGTAGACCAGAGGTAGCGCCACATCAGCATGCAATGTAGACCAGAGGTAGCGCCACATCAACATGCAATGTAGACCAGAGGTAGCGCCACATCAGCATGCAATGTAGACCAGAGGCAGCGCCACATCAGCATGCAATGTAGACCAGAGGTAGCACCACATCTGTATGCCTGACGCACAGAACAGGAAGCGCCAACATGCTGCCTCCACCTCGTTCAGCCGTCCACATCGTCAGTGCACAACCAGCTTCTAGCCAGCGTCGAGCCAGCATAATGCCAACGTCTAGTCAAAGTCGAGCCAGCATCAAAGCAGCATAGCCAGACTGAACGTTGACCACCTCGAGGCCAGTCTTTAAGTAGGATTTGACAAGGCTCTCTAGCCTCGGGTCTCCTCCCCTGAGTCGTCCAGATTGATTCACAGTCGAAGACCTGGATTGTACAGCTGCAGACTTTCCCCTTGGACCTGATGCTGTCAAGGTACCTGCATACAAACAAATGTGTGTCCAACAGGCGGCCTGGGCTGGGTACATTTTGATTTTGACTGTTGGGGTTTCCGACAGTTGACTTTTGTCAACTGGACCTCTTCCAGACCCTGAATCTTTTGTTGGGGTCTTTTCCCCCATTTCGGCCTGGGCCTGGATGTGGCCTGGCGAGGCCCTCATTTTTCCACAAGGCTTACCACATGGGTTATTGCAATTTGTTGAGATTATAAGCTGCGCTACCTCGTCTTCATCTTTCTGGTCTCCAATTTGAAAATTTGTGTCATCTCCTACATGCATGTGGTGTGATTGTGTGTGCTCACTGGTGTTGAACTAAGAGGTTCATTGCAAACTAGTATTGGAGCAGTTGCTCGTTACATCCACTGGACATCGCTGGCAGCGATTAAGGCCAGCGAGAAGGGAAGATAAGAGAGAGTTGAGTGGGGAGAAGACTGACGAAGGGGGAAAAGAAGAAGGCCAAAGAAGAAGTGGCTTGATTACATACCTGTTGTTGTTGCATTGGAGCGTTGGAGCGGCCGTGGAGCTTCATCAACGAAACGTTCATTGGAGTGAAGTGCATTCCCCATTAGACCTGTATTGCTTGTCGACTTCTCTTGGTGTTTGGTACCTTCTCAACCTTGGTGTCGCTGCTGTTGGGCTGGTCTAAATCGTCACATACTCGATCTGCCTTGAGTCCAGAACCAGTTCGCACATTCAAAAAAACAAAAAAAAGGGTATATATATATATATATATATCGTCACAAATATATGTACATATAGCTCTGACGATATATATATATATATATTCTATTTGACGATATATATATATATATATATATATATATATATATATATATATATATATATATATATATATATATA